CGAGTATTGACCATTGCTCATATAGCCCCAATGGGGTTATAAATATTTTTCCCTATATAACCCCTATAAGCCCCAGTAAACACCTCAGGCCGAACTCCAAGCAGTCGTACCTCTGCTTCGTGCTGATTGAGCAAGGCCTCCGGGAGACTCTTGGTGACCCCGATGGGATGTTTGTGTTCTATTATGATTCTTATTACTATTATTACTATTTTTGCTATTATTGCTCTTATTAGTACTAGTACTATTATTAGTAGTCTTACTAGTACTCTTCTTATTATTCTTGCTATTATTATTCTTATTACTAGTGACAGTACTATTATCATTCTTGCATCATCTACTTGGCTACGTGCATGCGGGGCACAGGGAATCTGGGCAAAAAAACAAGAGAGCTGCATCGGCAAGGGGGACAGCGTTATGTACAACATGCGTTGTCGCGCTGGGCATGCCGGCAATCGCCAGGCTATGCTGCCCCTCCCTACCTCTTTTTCAGAGGCACAAGGCAGGTATGCTGGTCAGCTTCCAGGCACAAACCTTAGACAAGAAACAAGCGGACTCCACCAAAGCCCGATAGCATTAGCTAAGGGGCCTTGGCCCTGGATGTATCCGCCACAGCAATGGCCTCCGGCTTAGAGTGCGTCCCCCGGGCCGACGATTACACGAAGATGAAGGCATGCCGGCAAAAGTCATGCTACACGCGGACCCGGACCTGCGCATTGTGGACCGCCGCAAACTGGACAGCCCGGTGCGCAGCAAAGCTCCCCCTTTTGAAGGCCTCTTCCTGAGCTGTTTTGACAAACCATAGGCAGGGCAGTGTGTGTGACATGCCCCAATCGCAGAGTTGTAACCCTGGAATGTCAGGCTGCTTAATTCAACAAGCGACGGCACCAGCCACTCGCAACCTGCTGTTTCACCTCAGGATGGACCCTGGTGGCATGCATACAGCCTCCCGTATGCTCGCTGGGATGTTGAACATACTCTGTCCGGACTCACTGCAGCTGTCGGCAGGCAACCAACAAAGTAGAAGCCGGTAGCGCTGGCTTCTAATAGAGTGTAAGCCATGTCCGACACGACAGCGAATGCTACTAACTGCTACAACTGTGCTGATATGCGCGGAACTTTGTTCCACAGGAGAACCCTGCAGTCTTACGTCATGGACAGGATGAAGACCTGAAGCGCTTACTGAGGCACAGTGGCACCAGAGCTGCCGCCAACCCATGGCCTTGAACCAAATCCAGGAATTTCTTGAAAATGCCATGTGCTGGTGCCCAGCTTATGTTGCAAACATGGAGGCACCTCAAATTCCACTGGCAGTGAGGCATGCCTTCAAAGTCGGCCGGATCCGCCTGCTAAACAAGCTGTTGTTGAAGCTGCACTTGATGCCAGCACTGAACTTATTCACCTGTAGTCGATAGCCCGCAGCGGACCCTTGCCTCAAACTCAGGCTGCCCCATTCGCAGCTTGTCTAAATATGTAGCATGACGCCTAAGAAAGGCAAGCATAACCTCAGCCCGGCTCTGGGAATAGCACGGCCATGCATTTTTCGACATCAGCCGAATCATGAACTAGAAGCGCCATATGTGCGATCTGGAGGCCCGACCGCAGGGATGTGAGATGTTTATGCTTCTCATCCTCAACACAAATTTCAAGCGTCTCACTTCACAGCAGAGTAACTTCCTCCGCAGCCAGGCCGCAGCCATTCGATACTGATTGGGCCTGCCGGATGTTGCCCTGGCGGCTTACGTAACCTCACCATTCAAAGGCAGGCTAAGGCTCGGCTAAGGGTCATAGAAATACGAACTGGGGCTTAGTAGGGAATAGGGGAATATGTTACATAGGGTGATATGATATTATATAGGGATTGTATCCCCATATTCCCCAAGAACAGTACTGGCGCAGCCAAGAAACGCATTGTAGTTGTAGTTGCAGAACCTTGGCCCGGCATCTCTCGAGCTGAACTTTCTCACAGCCTAGCAGCTATTTAGCAGCTTATTCTTACTATTGCTGAGCATGATTATCATAACTGTTTGTAACTATTGCTACTATTTGCCACAGCCGCTTGAGCACACCCACGTGTGAAGGAGCTGAGTAGGTGGCGTTCTGCTTTCTTTGGAGCCTATCTGGCCCCAATAAGCATCTTGTAATTCTTTTGTCCTCGCTTTCTGCTTTCACGATGCACTGCTGACATGGGGTCTCCAAAAGCCAGCGATCCGTTCCTGGGGCCTTTGCAATGGGACTATGTTTTTTTTGGTCTATGCAGGGCCCCCCTGTTTATGGAAACTACCATGTGTCACTATTTGCAGCAAAGCCTCAAGTACAGCGTCTCACCCTGGAACCGCTGCTTCAGCACATCAAAAGCATAGCTTCCACCTCCTTTCTTGTATGGTCTGTGAAGGTTCTTTGCCAAGTCCTCAAGCCCCACACAGCAAGTGGCTTTTCGCGTTGCGACGTCACAGTTCTCAGGGCGCAATGAAGACGCCTCTTTTGATTCTGCCAAGCTTCAGCTCGGATCGTGTTCAAGCCAATGCGGCTGTTGGAGTAAAGCACCTGAGACTGTGCCGATCATCCCATCTCCAGACGGAAACCAGCAAAAAAATGCGATGCAGCAAAGAAAGGTCAATTAAGACCCACGTCTAGCCACTCCGAGCTGAAGTCCAAGGATAGCACCGGACCAGCCAACCGCGATCCTGCCACAGAGCCCCCCACCGATTAAGATTGAAGCCTCACACATAACACCAGAAGCACCCAAGCCTTTGCAGGAAATCGCAGTATGGTAGCAATGAGCCCAGTGTGTGGCCTTTGCTCGTAAAAATGCAATGTTAGCGGCAGCTTAAGAGCAGGCAGCAAGCGGCATTCAACCCAGGCGCGGTGGAAAGCTAAGGCGTTGTGGTCCACGTTGAAAAGTGAGCCTCGCGTGGCCTTGCCTTGACAAGGAGTATCAGAGAGCGTGCTGCCCTACATGGTCGGCTTATGATTTGCATGTCCAAGTAATCTCCCAGGCGGGTGGCCCTTGTCAATCGAATGATAATGCCGCGATCGCGTGATGTAGCCAACTGCAGGCAGCTCGTCCAGCAGAAATTTCTCGAACTTTGACCAGGCGTCAGGTTGTGGAACCATCGTGAGCATGTCATCATCCAGAAACACATAATACCTGAGCGGCGCAGTGGACTTTCCAGCTGGCCAACAGCAAGCGCTGTCCCGATGACTTTGCGAATTTGGACGCGCGCCTCCTGTTTCTATAGCTTTGTTTTAGTACAAATGCCCAGGCTTCAGCCAGAGCACGACCCTTCAGGAAAACCCTTGCAAAACTGATGCAAGCTGAGCCGGCACGGGAATGCCTACAGCCCTTATGCTCCACAGTCCGGTTCGGCTGCCTGCGGGGGGGGAATTTTCTTTTTCAAGGAGTGCCATCTCCAAGGTGAGGCCTTTTTCTTGCAAAGGCTTTCACATAGCTGTTGCCCTCGATGCAGACTCAGAATCTTGAAAAGCTCGCAAACGGCCCGACCTATATTATACCCCAATGTATACCCTCTTGTGATATAGTAGTTTCCATTTTCTTTTCCACTATCCCTATATAATCCCTGTCCATATATATATATAGACATACCCTATTACACCATAGTAGTTTCCATTTTCTTCTGCAGTATCCCTTTGCATGGCCAGGCTGCAGGTAGCCAGGCCAACAATGGCGATGCCGGCGCCGTAAGGCCGCCTCCAGAAGAAGATTTCTCCCCTCGCCCCACCATGCCTGGCACATAGCAGCCGTTTTTGATCCGTTTTTGGAGGTGTAATGGGAGTATGTATTGGGGTTATCAGGGATAATGGAAGAGAAATGGAAACTACTCTAGTAATAGGGGTAATATAGGGGGACTGCCCTGGCACTTAGGGATGTTGGGGTAACACCCAGCCTCGGGCTCGAACAGCACGTCTGGTGCTGCGATGTCCGCATACTCTCCTTTGTATGGCCGGTCGAAGGTCAGCCACAGAACATCTCCTCAGCTGACACGCTGAACCACCGTTGGTGTATGTATAGATTACACTCAGTATTTCCCACATAGTTTGATGGACAGGGGCCCCTTAATAGGGACTCTAGTGGGGACTTACTAGACTACAAGAGGGACCACTGTTACGGGTCCCCTAAAGAGGCCAGTATACAGTAGCTGAGATGTGTCGGCAAATGCTGCCACGTTCATTACAGTTCAGAAAGTGCACTGGAAGAGTTTCTGTCTGTTTGGGTCACCTTCAATTCATCTTTGACCCTTCGTGACCTGCATGCCCTCCATGCTGTCCTGCCAGATCTCAATGCATACTGTGCTCTTCTTCTTCCTCTAGCTGCATCCCAATGCTCGGTTTGCGCGATTGTGAAGTGGCGCAGTGTCCAGCACCGTCGCGCCGTGCAGAAGATAAACGAACCTGGGAACAATTAGCTGCGGCAAAGGCAGTCGTAATGAGTACCTTACAAACTCGAAGTTCTTCCGTCACTTGGCATCCATCACGTTCAATCGGTTGTGCCCATGCTTGCATTGCCGGGTGGCTGCGGCGAGGAACAAGTCCCGTTCCATTCCGTCAGCGCACTCTTGACAGCTGGGTGCAGGAGCCAAGCCCACCAAATAAGGTGCATTTGCCATGGGACACACTTGCAAGCATCTACTGGAACCTGGGAGAAACAATTTGAGCTAAATTAAGCTCCTTGCAAATGAACATCATGGGTCTTGTAGAATGTGAACTTGTCCAGTCGGCACGACCCGTTCTCTGGCTGAGTACCATGATCCCCTGGCTGAATACCATGATCCACGGGCAGATGGGGCTGAAGAAGCGCACTTTATGCTGGCCGTTCTCCGTCCATGCCAGTTCATGTGTCAGTCACTTAATAAGGCTCCATCTTGAAGGCCTAGCCAGAATATGGCAGAATGAGCCACTATTTGCACGTGCGAGCCTGCGCTGCCCTGCTTCCGTTCGCAGCTGCCGCATGGCAGTGTCTCAGCGCACCTGGGCTTTGGCTTCCTGATCTCCATCCATGCACGAAGCATGTTCCAGCCGTACTGCCCAAAGGGAGCCATCCCACGATGCGTTCATGGTTCCACCTGTCTTGAATCCGCCGAAACCCCGAACATGAGGCTCCGAAGCACTATCAATATCTATTAATTGATCAGCTGATGGTTCCTTCGATTTTGCTTCAAATACTGGGGCCAGCGCTCTCCAGCAGACCCAAGCTGCGATGGGCTAAGCAGAGATGGAAAAAGCCCGGCCCGCGAGCCTCAGATCTCAGACATGTGGGAGCTTGTCAAAATTGGTTCCGTTTGGGCACCTCATACATCAGGGGCCTTACTAGAACGCGAGCTCAAAAAAGTCCATACTTTTGAAAACCCACCATGTGCGCTGGGGATGTCAAAGTGAGCATCGCTTGTAGCTCGAGCGTCACATACCAGCTGCTTCTAACACATTGACGTTGGTATAGCTTGGCAAATCGGACTGCAGCACGGGCAACTAGACTGAGTGGAGATAGGGCATTGGCTGAATCAACTGCCGTTGCCCAAGGTTGTCCTGCCTTGCGCGAATTTGATCCGAGCTGAATCGTGAATCACGAGAATTGGCCTCAAGCACCGCAGCTGCGTCTGCATGGCGACCAAGCCTAACGAATATGAAGCAGCCGGGACTCTCCGTTATTCAGCCTGCGCACAACACAAGAGCAGGCAGAAATACCGAGCCCCGTGCTGCAGCAGAAGGCCGCCATAGTTGGCCTGGGCCTTTGCCAGCTCCGTCATCGCAGGCTGGCAGCCTGTGACAGACATTGCGCGCAGATCGCCCGCAATTCCATAGTTTGTTACAATCAGACTTCGACTACCCTGAAAGATGTGGACCTTTACAGTAAAGACCTTGCAGGACCCATGATGTTACATAATGTGGAGAACCTCCGTGTATGAGGAGCTTCCACACCAGACATTCACGTGCTGCGAACCAAGTGGCCTCCACAATCCTCCGAAGTGGCCTCGCACATTGGCAAACACCATCCAGTCCCGAAAACACATTCATCTGCGCATCCCTGCAAAATCTGACCAGCCTGCGCCTTTGCACATGCCTTCCGATACCTGGACCATCCAATGCTTTTCAAGGCTTCCTCTCACGTCTCGCGGGCATTCTCGGGCTTTGGCACCACTTCTGCCTCAGCCGATTCTTTGGACCTGAATGAGGCGTTTGTAAACTGGCGATTTTCTGTTTGGAGATTCGCTAAAAGTACCGGCTTGGAGCCCGCACTGGTGTAGCAGGGTAGCCTAGGTCCATGCACCGATCCCATTTTTCTGGAAGAACACCGGCAGCTTGGCTGAGAACGAGATTCAGGAGGAGGCCTCCGTGGTCGGGTCCTGGGAAACAGCTGAGCTGGATTCGGACAACATGGGGATGCTGTGGGCGCTGCGGATCTGAAGAGCTTCAGAAAGCCTTAGCTTGAGGTTTCATGGCCTGGCTTGGAGCGCCGTGATGGTCAGGCCGCTGACTGTTTTATCCAAGAGGCATGGCTTTGGCTTTCTGTACTTTGCCCTGCTTGAGCTCCAGAGTCCCAAAGTCCTTCGGCAACTCGGCAACTCGGCAACCATGAAGGAGCAGAACACTGACTAGACGTCCCTCCTTCAGCGTGTGGAACCTCTGAGACTTTTGGCCAAATCTCACTTCATCTCACTTCTATTTTCTCTATCTTGAGCTGAGGGCTGCCCAGGCTGCTCGCGCAGAACGGCCTACCAGTGAACGTAAGTCAAATAAACTTGATGTAATCTCTTCTGCCTCAAAGAGATGCGAAGACCCGGCAGCCCAGTGTAGGGCTACCTTCTACGTGTCATAAAAAACTGCAGGCACGGAAGCACCAAAGTGGACACGGTCAAGACGACAACAGTCAATTGACGCTTCCGCCTGATTCGCGCGCCAAGCACATGACAAAATGAACGCGCCACCACAGACCTCAGTACAGCCACTAGCAGAACCTTGACAAACAGAAACCGGTCCAGAAGTGACAACACGGAGAAACCGACTCCTAGAACAGTTCGCGACTTCCAGGAGGCTCCCTGCCAGCAAAGGAAGCGACTTGCCCCAGGCATTCCAAGCACGGCACTGGCACAGCAGAGTCAAGCCAGCGAGCCAGACACACGCTAACTATTCACAAGGATGCAAGCCTCACAGCAGCTTTGGAGCAAGCCCGCTGTGCATGGCACGAAGATGCACATGCTCGGCAAGTACACCTTGCAAAACACTACTGACAAACGCCCATCTGACCTTTCCTGCCAACACATGCGAGAGTGTGGGCAGCCGAGCACATGGCTGAAATGACATGAAGTTGGTATCCACAAACAGAAAATCATCGTTTCATTAGGCTGCGGCGTATCTGTCCGCAGCCAACGCCCACACCTCAGAGATTCGTGCAAGTTCCTGCATCCTGCACCGCCACATGTACTGCTTCCATTGATACCAATGAAGCGCTCTCTTTTTTGAACTGCCGCAGAGTGCCTGGGCTTTGATAGGCAACTGCGGGTCGCTGTCGCAGTCTTTTGCTTGCTGGCAGCTCAAAACTGACCCCACGTAAGACTTCTCGATAATTCTCCCAGATGCCTGGTCTTTGTCAGGCTCTTGTATGATGCCTGCCACTGTCAGCTGAAGTTTGTTGCCTGCTGACATCCCAAAACTGACCTTAGCCTTGTGCGGCACCGGGTCTTCGATCTGAGTTCGTTGGAGGCACCAACCTATGCTTCTCTGATAATGGAAATACTCCGTCCTCTAACAGGACTCCGCTTCAGGACCGGCGAAGCCCATACACTTGTGGAGCTCCGCCTTGTTTGGATCCGAACAACCCAAGCACTCTTTGGAACACCAGCTACGAAGGCAAGCCATCTTGCAGTTGTCAAAGCGAAATTGACCAGATTGGCCAAAGCAAGCCGCGCAGGCAGGAGTAAGCTGTGTCTGAGTTTGCATGCAGTGGACCATTGCTTGAGGATTGAAGCCAGACCACATGCTCAGGGCTTCGTGGCCACAGTCTGCCACGATCTTCGGGAACGTGCCCTCGTCACTGCCGGCCCCCAACTGGGCCATCACGGCCGCATCTGCTGCAATGCATTGTCCGGTGAAATTGGACACATCCAAGTACGAGTATTTCCCTGCTCGCCTGGCAGACTTTCGTACGGCCTTCACCGTCTCAAGATTGCAAGTCACGTCTGGCTCTTGCACCTCAAGCTCGCTCTGGGACGACAGGCTCGACGACAGGCTCGACGACAGGCTCTGTGCCAGTGGAAGGCACAGGGGAAGAATGAGGCTCAGGCGTGCGGCGAACATACCTCAGCTGAAATGTCAATGCACATCAACTTGAAGGCTGGAGGCAAAAGCGCTGGAGAGGAAGAACCAAGTTCAAGGACGTCCAGAAGACGGAGACTAGTTGAATATCTCCCCTTACAAGAGAAACACACACGCCTGAATAGGGTATGATGGATATGACTGCGGCATCCTTTTGGCCGTCCTGCTGCTCTGGCTCAACTGCTTCGCATTTTCAAGATCTGGTCGCACAACTTCCCCCATTCCCTGCCCAATTGCTACCATTTACCACCTCCGCTGCAACCTGAACGACCATTCTCAACGAAGCACTACTTGAACCTCCCTCAGAGCCAGGCAGAGCTTAAACTGCGTGCCCATGGACCCGAGACAGGCAGTAGCTACAAGAAGCCGGCAGGAACTCGAGACTAGAGACCAGCTCCTCCACATCAAACTTCTTGAAGTGCAGACAAGCTGCTAAGAGCTGCCAGGCTCGAGCCGCTATGGATCAGACGCTATTTCGTACATCCCAGCCCAAATGGCACTGCAAAAGGAACGTCTGAGACCATTCAGCGCATGTGATCAAGTGCAAGTCTGCCGCAGATGTAAGGCTCTGGCATGGGTTGAAAGGAGGCCAAGGGTCCTTGGCATTGTACACGGATCTAAAATTAATCTGGTTTGCCGCGCGCCGCGCTTGTTTCTTCTCATTTTGGGTTGGCAACTTCCTGAATTCTGCAAGAACAGCGTGTGTAGTAACAGCAACAAAAATGGCAGCACGCAGCTGCGGCAGGCGTAGTCGTAGAAGCAGTCGTCGTGATCGTCGTGGCCGTCGTCGTCGTCTTGGTGGAGGTGGTCGTCGTCGTAGTAATAATAATAGTATAGTAGTAGTAGTAGTAGTAGTAGCAGCAGCAGTAGCAGTAGTAGTAGTAGTACTAGTAGTAGTAGTAGTATTCGTAGTAGTAGTCGTCGTCGTAGTAGCAGTAGCAGCAGCTGTTGTTGTCGTCGTCGTCATCATCGTACTCGTCGTCGCTGCCGCCGCCGTCGTCGTCATCGTAGCAGTCGTCGTCGTCGTCGTCGTCGTCGTCGTCGTAGTAGTAGTAGTAGTAGTAGTACTAGTAGTAGTAGTAGTAGTAGTAGTAGCAGTAGTAGTAGCAGTAGTAGTAGTAGTCGGAGTTGTAGTAGTAGTAGTAGTAGTAGTAGTAGTAGTAGTACGCGCTCCGCTCTTATTTGACGCTAGGTTTTCGGAATACGCAGCAGTAGAAAACACTGGC